TTTGTCTTACAAACGATTATTTCTCTATTAAATAAAATAATTGTAAAAATTTAAAGAACAAACGTTGAATTATTAACATTACAGTTTGAAGGACATCAGAAAATTTTGAACGCATTCTGCAGACATCTACAACTATTAGAATTAGTCGAAATTTTCGACTAATCCAGTTGGACTATTTTTTTTTCTGAAGATTCGCCTGACATTTTTTTTTCTTGTTTTTTGTATTTGCAAATTCAGACATCTATATCTACGAAATTTACCTTGATGTCTTCATCAACTATCTTTCTACATGATTTTCTTGTTCCTAATGATGGTTCTCAAGGATCATTTGAAGTAAATTTATTTATTTTTATATTGATTCTGTTTTTTTTCATCATTTTGTTTTTGTTCTTGTAGCAAGTAACAAATGTTCCTCCTCAACGAATAAACTTTCGACGTGAACGAAGTCCTTCTCTTGTAGGATATTTTTTATATTAATTTTATATGTAATAAAATTACCTTACATTTATAGGAAGATAATGAATCAATATTTAAATCAGTTCGTACAGATTATCGACCGGTATGTATTTATATTTAAAACATGTTTTTGTTTTTTTTTTCATAAGATTTTTGTTTTTATATTTAGGATGCAATAGCCGATCCTCCACTTCCTCGTCGACGTGTTGCTAAAAAGACTACCATTAGCAAATGTTTACCATCAAATAATAATAATAATAACAATAATAAAAATCCAATAATTCATCAATCTATACGTCAAACAATAGTTGATGATAATTATGATGACATGTCTCATTATACTTCATCAGGACGACAATCAATAACATCAATTAATAATAATGAAGTAAACAAGAGAAAAAAAATAAAAGAGTTAATTAAAATGAAAATTTCGATTATTTTCTAAATAGGAAATTGGTCTTAGTCGAATACCTGATCAACCATTATTACCAACATTTAGTGATAAAATTCAACATGAACTTGTCATGGGTGAATTAAAATAAAAAGATAAATTCATATTAAATTCTATATTTAAATTTCTTTAGGTAATCCTGAACCAATAATGAATGAATTAATTCGTGAAGCAGCTGATTTCTATATGAATGTCTATCCACAATTAACACATGGTGTTGAATATAAAAAAATTGGTATTGCACTTATTAATGAATATCCTTGTTTAGCATGTGAAGATACAATTAATCCTCATGTATGTTGTTGTTGTTGTTGTTGTTGTGTATTTTTCTTTTTCAGAGTATATTGATTCATATTTAATTTGATGTTGATTTTTTTGTTTTTGTTTTCGATTAGGGTTTAATTACATCACGATTATCAGCTCGTATACGTAATGTTCGTCGAAAAATGCGTACAAGAGAACAAAAATGTCAAATGCGTGGAACAATTTATTAAAAAAAAACTCAACTAACTCATTTATTCTTGTATAGAAAAATATCTTATAATATTGTTTATAGTAATAAACACGAAAACAAAATTCATATTAGATTAGTTTAATATTGATTTATTATTAAAGTTTTTATATCTCAATGAAATAAGAAAACATTTTCTATCTACTATTGTTTTCATTGGAAAAAAAATATTAATTGTTGATACAAAGATGTTTCTTTTTTGCGGTGAAAATTTATCATTACTGAAGACATACATGGAGTATATTATTGGAAAATGCGTCTGTATGAAATTGTTTAGTGTAAGAGAAAATAAAAATTCTTTTCCACGAGTTTTTTAATGATTTGAAGGAGATTAATTCCAGTGAACATTGATAGTGGTATCGAGTTTGGAATGTATCAAGAGATTTTTTTGTATTTGGTTCGATTTGATTGTTATTTATATGCAAGTTTTTATATTCTTATTTCGAAATGATGTTATCCGATGTGATATCTCGCGTTTGAGATGATGCTTCAGTCATTGCGTAGAACCTATTGAGACTAGAAAGATTGCTCCTCATGCGCTCTCCTTTTTGAGTTATGGCCGCTACACTAGATTTTTTATTTTTGGCACGGTATGTATAAAAAAACCGGACGAGCGAATTTTGGCCTAAAACTTTGCCCATAGACAACTCTTGAAGCCATTAGCATGTCCTAAAAATGCCAATCAATAGAAGTAGTCTCTTCTCGAGATATCAAATCCACAGAAAATCATGATATTTCACCATTTGTGAATTTGATATTTCGAAAAGAGACTGTTCTTCTTGACCGAAATTTTTAGACGATTCTAATGACTTCAAGAGTTATCTATAGGGAAAGTTTTCAGCCAAAATTTGTTTGTTCGGTTATTTTATAAATATCATGCCAAAGATAAAAAATCTAGTGTAACAGCCATAACTCCAAAAGGACGGCGCATGGGGAAGAATTCTTTTAGACTTTCGTCTAGTCTCAGCAAGCCCTACGCAATGACTGAGATTTCGTCTCAAACGCGAGGTATCACTTCCGGTGGTTTTCTCGTAAGTAGAAATGACAAAAGATGATGGATAATCAACAAAGACATTTAATATGTATGGCGGTTCAATAACTAAAGCAGAATCGAACATATTTTGATTTTATTCAGTATCGATTGTTAATACATTTGTTTTAATTACAATAGGTTTTTTTGTCAGCTATGTGATAGCAACGTACTCTGATTATTCTGACAATTTATGTCCTGATCATCCTAAATATTTGTTTGGTATTTTATAACTCATGTATCGATCTTTGATAAATGGATCAATTTGTAATCCAGACGAGAATATTAGAACATCAAACTCAACATGATATCATTTTATTATATGTTACAGTTATACTTTATAGAAAGAGGTCACATTAGATGTTCTGAGCTAACCGAGATTTGTGCTGATATTCTTTGTATATCATACGATTTTTTTAGTTTTGTCTATGAACTTTCTCGTGATATATGCGATGTTATTAATAGGAGTGCTCTATCTCTAGAAAGTTTCGTGACAGTAATTTTATTTATTATATGAAATGTTAAGACACTGTTTCTATCATATCATCTCATGGTCATAACTATAATGATATGTTTAAGTAGATGTCTTTTGAGATTTGTTATTACAGTGCATAGGAATTCGAAAAATCTTTTACGGTATAATACATTTTGTAGAAAAATATTTCTTTATTTCAATTCAACAACAAAGTAACATCATTTGATAAGAAATTTACATTATGGAAGAAGTTTATTAAATAAGAATCAATACAATATCCTTTACTAGTTTCTTTTATTATGTTTTTTAAGCATAGTTTTCTATCTAGATGTAAACTTATTTTCAAATTTTTTATACAAATTCAATATTTTAAATTTATCATTAACTAGAAAAATAACAATGACATAATACTGATATATATTATTTCGTACAAATCAATCCAATGCAATTCTCATACAATAAATCAAAAATCTTCCACTCTTTATGCATCGATATACATTTTACATGATGGAAAAGATCTTCGTCGGCAACTTCTTAAAGCAAATAGAAAAAAAATCAAATCACTTTGTGATTTCAATTGTTTACAGTCTAGCAAAAGTAATGACGCCGACATATAGATAGTTGGAAGAAAATTTGTCTTGATATATACTGATGAGAGATGTTCAGGGCCAAATTTTATTCATGTCCATGTCTCGAGACCATGAGAAAGAGAAATATGGTTATAACCGAGTTATCGTACAAATCATATCAATGAAAACATAATGCAAGAGCGATGACAAACACAAAGTGCTATTCATGAACTAAATCAATCAAACAGCGATTATGTAAGAATTTTGTTTTTAGAGATTATACAAATAGACTTTAGAATAGATTTCTCTAAATCGAGAACAGGATCAAAGTAAATGTACCGGAACTAAAATAACTTAGTTTCACACATCTTTAACACTGATAATCCAAATAGTACTCTGTATTTCTTCCATATTTTATTATTCTTTTCTTATGACTCAAAGCCAGTTTGTACTTTTTTCAAATGTTGTCTTAATTACAGATCTATTAGGTCGTGCTTCGTTTTCAACCTCTTGCCGTTCTTCACGAAGTCATTTTGATCGAGTTTAAACTCTTCTGCAAGGCGAAGCCTAATCGTTAAAAACAGAACATAGCTCTCCCTGAATAACTTTTGGCCGGATGGAAAGTACAGTGCACACTTTAATATATGTAGCAGTGAAAATTTTCCTTATCTATTTAAAACAAACGTGAACAGTTTTCATCGAAATTGTATTATTATTATTATAGCAGTTAAAGAATGATGGGATATTGAAGAAGTATAGAATGTCGTTTATAGTATAAATACATAAGAAAAAATTCGCTCGAGCGTCCTATAAAGTGCAATAGTGCTGGTATCATTATTTTTGGTATACCCTAAGTATGTATAATAATTGATGTCTAAAAGAAAAATTTACATATTATATTCAATAGAAATTGTACGAATTGTAGTATTCATTGTTTATACAAAGAATAATGATATCTGTTACTAAAAAGATGAATCATGATGATACATTATTTGACTTATTCTCTTTAATAGCTTTTTAAAATTTTCAGAGTTTTCATTGTTGTTTACTTTCAATTAACCCTGGTACTACCAAGCGGGGTCAAAAATGATCCCACTATAGAAAAATGAAATTTAATAAAAATATCATAGTGTTTTTCTGGTTCAAAGAGTATTTAGCATTTTTCACGACCAAAAATTTCAGACACAGCACCGAAGAGAAATTCATCTCGTCTTCCCCTCGGACTCAGGCTGCCCAACTATTATAGTGCGTGATTCATCGGATTTTGGAATGTGGAATCAAGATTGTTTATCTTTCTGTACTTGTTTTTTGCGTGAATAGGATGTAATAGTATCATCTGCTCGTAGCTGATATGAAAATAAAAGATGAATCTCTTATTGATATTTGATTTTATAATTCTTCAACTAATGTCCATATGCCAAAAACTTTCGTTTATGTTCCATTATAGATTGAAACTTTGTTTTTTCTTCAAATTGAATAAAACCGTTCTGATTATCAAACATAGTGTAATGGATGATAATTGGCTTGATGGTAGAAGTGATGATAGTGACAATGCTCATGTTGAAGAAAGTGGTTCAGAAACGGAAAATATTGATAGTGAAACAACAGAAAATGAAGAAGAAATCGATTTAGAAAAGCTTAATTTAGAAGAAAGTGATCCAGATGAAAATTACACGCAAGGCTGTTCATACAGTTCAAGATCTGATATGGTGTTGTCTTCTACTCCATCTTATTCGTCGACAACAAAACATCATGCTAATGTAAATTTAACATCTGGACTTACTGAATTGACCGCACATGTGGCTTCTGTTGAAGATGCATTTCTCTGCTTTATATCGGAAGAAATGTTAAAGAAAATTTTACTTTATTCGAATACTGCAGGAATCTCAAACAGAACTCTCGATGACAGTTTTGAAGAAATATCAATGGTTGAATTAAAGGGTTTTATTGGTCTTTTACTAATATCTGGTTTACTCGGAAAATCAAGAAAAAGTATTAAGTCTTTATGGACTAGAAATTCATTGGAGTCTCCAGTATTTAGAGCAATAATATCGCGAAATCGATTTGAAACAATAGTTTTCTATCTTAGATTCGATGACAAAACAACAAGAGAAGAAAGAAAAAATACAGATAAATTTGCTGCAATTCGTAAAATATGGTCGGACTTCCAAAACAATTTGAACAAATGTTATTCAGTAGGATCTTTTGTGACAATTGATGAACAGTAGGTTGGATTTCGCGGAAAATGTCCTTTTCGTCAATTTATCCTCAAAAAATCTGATAAATATGGAATAAAGCTTTGGTTATGCGTTGATGCCAATTCTTACTATGTATTTGATGCAGTTCCTTATACTGGACGACAATCTGGTCAAGATAGACAAAAGAATATAGGTGTCAACATAGTTTTACAATTGATGAAACCACTGTTTGGTTCTGGTAGGAACGTTATAATGGACAATTTCTTTACTAGTATTCTACTAGCAAAACAACTGGGAGTTCACAATATTACCTTGATATGAACATTACGCAGAAAGAAACCCGAAATACTCGTAGAATTTCTCTCGAATAAAAATCGTCCAGTTGGCTTTGCAATTTTCGGTTTCAACGATAATCTAACACTAGTTTCGTACGTTCCGAAGATAAATAAAGTTGTTTTGTTGCTCTCATCGAAACATCATGACCACAAAGTAGACTCAACAAATGAAAAGCCACACATCATCTTGGATTATAATAAAACCAAGAATGCTGTCAATACTGTTGATCAGATGTGTCATAAATACTCCACAAGAAGAGGCATAAAAGATGGTCTCTCTGTGTCTTTTATAATATGTTAGACATCGCTACTCTAAATACTTTGATCATATGGAAGGAGAAGAATCCAGATTGGAACTAGAATAACAAATATAAACGTCGCTTATTTCTTGAAGAATTAAGAATAAGTTTAGTGGCTCATCTTCTTGATGTTCGTTTACAAACTTCAAAGTTCTTGCACAAAGATGTTCAAAGTGCATTAGCTGTTATGGGTTATCCTAAGGTGGAGAAAACATCACAAGAATTAAATGAAACCTCCACGGACTTAAAAACAAAATGATGTTTGGTTTGTGACCGTACCAAAGACAGAAAGACTCTGAACAAGTGTTATAAATGTTCCGAATCCATCTGTAATGAGCATTGTGTGAAACGACTTTTTTGTATCACTTGTTCGAAATAAATACATAACACTCTTCTCAATCATTTTATCCTCTAACCGAATAGAAAATAGTGTAACTTGGACAAACATATCGATTTCATGACGAAAAAATCACATAATAAAAATGTATTGTCATGTCATGCCTAAAATAGGCTTAGTAGTACTAGGGTTAAAGTCACAATTTAGTGTTTGATTCAAATCATTATTCAAGAATAAAATAATGCTTAGTAATATCGTTATGATGAAACTTATTGATAGAAAAGTTAATACATGTTGGCCTATAAAATCTTAAAACAATATAATTCTAATCATTAGCTATACAGTACAAATCAAAAATGAAGACTAAACAAGAGTTCGTTTACTGGCACATCTCATTGTGTGATAGGGGCTTAATAATCAGCTGAGTTAAGCCCACTACACACTCAGTTTATTCTTCCCATCGAGGTCTATAATAGCTTTATATCAGGTCAGATGTACTGAAATACATCTGTTACAAATCTACATACAATATGTTGGATTCAAAATAATAATATATTTGAATTTACAATGTTTTTAAGTTATAAAAATCTGTGAATGCAAAAAGACTTAATATCTTAAAAGAAATCATTCCTTTAGAATATATTGTAAAAAATATAATATGTCGTTTCTTACAAAATAAACAAACAAATTGAAAGTTTGAATTAAACTTATATGAAAAATCTAGCATAAAACGAATATATACTTTGATTAGTTCGTTATTTAATATTTATACATATATCTAAAGTGTATAGAACTCCTTCCATTGTCATATGTGTACAGAATCAAATCGAGCCAAATTTTGATATATTGGACTGTAATAAAATTAAACCCTTTCACATTACTATTTTTGTAATATAATCATAAATCATATTGACTCTAAGTAAATATTTACATAGCATATTTCAACTAAATCATTCAACCATTAGTTGTTTATTATTGTATTGAGATTTGATAATAATCTTTTTTTTTTCTATGACAATATACAATTGATTAAAAATATTATATAAATATAAATTAAAAAACTTTTTCACCTAGTCTCTTTTTTTGTAGTATCAATAGTGCACATTCTAGGACGTTAGCACAAATGTGAATATCGACGTATGGCAAAAGTTTTACATGTAATTCTATGCAGGAATATGATAAAACATTGATCTTTTTTGTCAAAAGATGCGTGATCGAATGTTCTACTCAGATTACAAGACTAAAAACATTGAACACGTGTGTTATTTCTTACAAGTAAAAATCAGAAAAGTCTATTTTGTGATTAACAACTAAAGCCATTTTTAATCAAATCCATGTTAGATAAAACGTACTGTTCTAGGTGCTGCAAAAAAAAAAAACTAAAACGTTCATCACCCTACCAATATTTCCTACGAGATTAGTACTGATGCCTTCATAACGTATATTCATCATCTTAAGTTGAAATTGAGTTCTCATTGTATTATTTCCTTAAGTTTAATTCTTTTTTTTACTATTTGTTTCGACAGTCAAGGAAGTTTAATCTAGCAGAATAAGATGTAGCGATTTTTACATGGAGCTCACTATTTTTAAACGATGTATTTGAGAGTAACTCAAAACACGAAAAAAACTTCAGGGTGAAACATCTAGATCAATTGACACAGACATTATTTTTCACTAGTATTTGAAATGAAGATGAGTAATAATCCTCATGGTTTGGAAATCATACGAGGCCTCTGATGGATTCAAAACATGAAAACCTTTCCGTTTTCTCTTATTTTTCCTTATAGGAAATGCCATAATGACATACGTATTCAATGCTAGCAATCTATTAAACTTTCGAAAACACCTATAAAGACTTAATCGTGGGATCCGAACAGAACATTTAATCGCGCATCTTTTGAAAAAAGAGATCAATGTTTTATCGTGTTTCTAAACACAGTTACATGCAAAACAAAAATATCATAAAACTTTTGTTATGCTTATCATTACTTATCAAACAGTCACAATAATTTTAATAACCAACTAACAATTATGACAATAATTTGATAGATAATCAAAAAAAGAAAAGAAATAATAACGATGATATCGTTTCCTTTTCATAAATATACGATTTATTTCAAAAGACATTTGAAAAAACAAAATCAGTGATGAGTATTCCGTATACAACAACGAAGATAAATAAAAATTGGCAAGAAAAAAATATGTGTATGTAATCGACCAATGAAGACATGTGGTGTAGATAAAAAACAAAAGCAATCACATAAAAAATAAGCATAAACACTGGGATTAGTAAATATCCACGCCATAAAAGAGAACTAAAGCCCATAGTTATAAGCAAAAAAAAACGAAAAGAAAGTTTATTGCCAAAGAAGATCTGATGATGCTGGCATGTATTCTGTAACAGGACGAATTGGCGTATTAGATATTAATGTTGATGCTGATGTATTACTTATGGAATTAGCAAATGGTACAAATTGAGAAAATTGATTATTTATCTAAAGTAAAAATAAATCAAAATAAGAATAAAATAAAAGAAATTTTTATATACTTGATTAGGTGTAAAAACTGTTGATGGACTTTGAAGAGAAGGTGTACTCATATTATTAGGATTATTATGATGCATTGTATCTAGTTCAGGTCTTGGTGAAAATAGATTACCTTGCTATAAATGAAATTGATTTATAAAAGAAAAAAATTATGGATTTCTTTTTTTTTTTTGTTTTGATTTTGTATAACATACCGATGATTGAAATCCAGGATGAGCTGCAAAATGAGATGATTGTTGATAAAGATTACTTCCAAATGATGCTGATTTGTGATGAGCATGAAGATGTTGTTGAACTTGTGGATGAGCCAAATGAGATGAATTAACTAAATAAAGATAAATCATATCGATATATTCATTGATATATCACACAGAGGCGTAACTAATGAAGGATGCATGATATCCCCGTGGTTTTGTCCACACCGTGTCCTCTTGTCTCTAATGCTGACTAGAAAACCTCTCCAGATATCAAATGGATTTTTAACCCAAACGATGTTTATTTGATGAGTAATAGAAAAATTTAGAATAGTTTGATTTTCCGAGTCTTCATTCTAGAGATATTGAAATTTTACTGAATTTTTCAATAAAAAACCTGTGGACACATGAAAAATTGACTTTCGACTTCAAACTTTGTACGAACAAAGTTCTCAATGAGATTAGTTCATTGCGCAACTAATACTTAGAATTGACCAAAGGTTCTGGCTAAGTTGTTTAACCCTTTGGTGCCGAGCGTGGTATATATACCACTTCAAGTATTTCTTAAAATTCAGGGATATAGTACATATACCAAATCATTCAAAAATGAGTGAAAATAGTCTATAGAGTAATTTTCCTTTGTTAATACAGAAAATTATCAATATTTTGAAAGTGTTGGAGATATTCACACATAGTGCATTAGTATTTTCCAACATTACATAATGAATTTTCTGCTTGTGCTATTATACATTCTGTATTGGGATTCTTCCTATAAATTCTATCAAAGTATGGAAATCAAAAACGAATGTCTGTTGCGAGGTCATCAACTGATTCACCACTGGATTTATCTGCTAGGCATTTTCCATCACTTGGACCCTCACCTACCTCAAAGAAAAGTGCCCCAAGGAAATGTCATGTATGTTCTCATATAACAAGACTTGAAAAATCAGCCAAATGCACAAGATATCAGTATGAGAAATTCGATGTTGGGTTATGCATAACTGATTATTTCAAAGCCTATCATTACCTTAAAACATTTTTGATAATAATTTTCGATTAAATAAACATCTATTTTCACTTATAGAAAAAAATTTATTTTTTTGAAAAAAGGTGAGGGTGGGTGTGGGTGTGTAGTCGTCTATCAGTAAATTGACTTTAGTTTCTTCAAAGCCTTATGAAAACAGGATTTACTATATACTATTCAATGCACCTCAAAAATTTCTACAACACGGTATATTTGGTTTTTCATTATCCGACAAAGTCCATTAAACGACTTAGCCAGAACTTTTCGTCAACCCTAAATATTAGTTACACAATGGACTAATCTCATTAAAAACTTTGTTCGTGCAATGTTTGAAGTCAAAAGTCAATTTTTCATGTAACCACAGCTTTTTGTTGAAAAATTTAGTAAAATTTCGATATCTCAAAAACAAAGGCTTGAAAAAGTAAACCATTATAGACTTTTCTATTACTATCTAGCATTCATCAAATTTATTATTATTTTGTAATTTTCTATCATTACTACTATTTTAATAAATCATAGTTTTATAGATAAAGAAAATCTAATAATGTAAAAGATGTTCTTAAAATGAGAATATTTATTAGAAGTGATCTTAGAATATTTCTTAATAAATTTAATTACATACTATTTGGTAATTGCATTGTTGGTGGGCGAATATTCGTTCCAGTTGATGTTTGTGGTGTATTAAATAATGCCATAATTTTTTCATTACTCATAACATTACTTGTATTAGTTGACTTAGTATTATCATTCGGAGATAAGAAAATATTTTGTAAATCTTTCTCTAAATTATTTGTTGTTACATCATTTTCGTTTATATTCGTCGATGGTGTTGTAAATACATCATGTAAAGAATTCATAATGTCACTTGAAGGAACTTTTGTAGGATTAGTCGTATTATTTGAAGAAGTAGATGATAAAGGTAATGAAGGTTCATCTAATAAAAAAAATATATCGACATAAAATTAATTTTGAATAGAAATATTATTACCTAAACCTAATAAATCCGGAGGATTTTCTACAACAGCAGGTTGTACAGAAGGAGTTGAAGCAGATGTTGTCGAAGATGACGGAGTCATTGTCGGTAATTGTATAATTGGTTTTACACGATCATTACCTGTTTGTCGTACAGGATTATTAGTCGGTATTGGTTTTAATTTT